CGATGTGTGTGTGTGTGTGTGTGTGTGTGTGTGTGTGTGTGTGTGTGTGTATGTGTGCATGCAGGCGCGCGTATGTCTCTCTTTTTCCCGTCAATTTTTTGCCAACTACCTCACGTTTAGTTCTTAGATATTTCGCCGGATACTGGAGAAAGATCTCGAGGATCGGGAAGCACTTGGACGAGCATGTTGAGCGAATTAAAGTTTAAAAGGCTGTCAACACCGCGACCTACGATGGATCCGAGGAAGTCGGGCTTGAAAGTTTTAGCTTGGCTTTGTCACCGCTTAATCCTGGAAGAGTAATGTGGAACATAATGGTGCTCACGATAAGCAACTCATCTTACAGCCTTCCCCATGACGCTAAATTGACAATATTAATCTTCCGTCATTATTCCTTCACTTCATTTCGTGAAGAATCTCTCATTGCTCGATAAAGAAACATTCTTCCGCAATCTTGAATATTTATTTTAATTCAATTCTTCATTTATAGATAAGTTTATTGTCATTATTTATCATTGTGTGCACTTAGAATAGAATGAAATAACAATGATTCCGTGAGGATAATCAATCGATAAAATTGAATTTTTACGAGAAATCGACATGTGTCAAATTTAAAATAACTTCGTTCATATCCTTGGGAATCCTTTCCGATTGTCATGCATATCGAACGTCAAGCGTCGAAAGTCGCTTTCATTCTGGTGGCAAGCAATATCCGATTGAATAATAATATCAAGACAAAAAAATCCAAAAGCATATTATCATTATATAGCAATATTAACAACAAATTTATATTCCATACTTTTATTATAAATAATAGTATCAATATATATTTATAATATTTACATAAAATATATATTGCAGAATTAAAAGTTATTTTTTCAGCAATAAAAAGAGAAAGAATTTTTTACTTTATTCAATAAAGAAAACATAAACTATTAAGTTAAATTTTTTTTCAATTCCAGAGAAATATATTATTTATTTTTACATTTGCATTTTTCAGTATCTCAAGTCATATAAAATTTGACTTAGAATTGAAAAAGAATTCAGTAGAATTACGTAGCAATCTGTATTTAATAGCCTTTTCATATCTTCTAAGGGATATTATTTTGCTAGATGGAAGTGTGTTGTAAGAAATAAAGAATAGAGCACTCACCGCACGCGCCTTGATGTTTCACCCTTATGTTCTTCCTGTTTTGGCAGCTGGCTTGCCGCAGGTGACAATAGCTCGTGTAGGTCACGTCGTCCGAGCCGCAGACGAGATCGGAAGTCAAAGGACAATCCTTAGGGCATTGACACAGACCCTTGCCGTTTTCGGACACGATGCACGTCGCGCCCCAAGCGCAATAGGTCTTCTCGCAAGGTTCTGAAATGAGGAAGAAAGCACGTTCTTTTTATTTTAACCCGCCAGATACAAAGTCTCAAAGTCTCAAAGCATTTCAAGCCAGCTCAATCAATGACCAGCCATTCTCAAATTTTATTACTTTAATGCTTTATTTTATTATTATTCTATCAGCAAACTATTGTTTAATCTATCGCTGATAATAGAGGTTTGTGTGAGAACAATTGTTTTAGATTAATTTCCAGACAAGACATTCCATAGAATTTCTCGGTTAAATTGTAGTATGCTAAAGTTAAACGGAAATTTAGTCAGAACTTGAGTGTTAAGATTGAAAATTAATAAGTGACAGCGAATAATGATTGCCAGACTAAACAAAACATTGGTTATGTTACTTTACCTTCCTATGTAATATATGTAATATATTTTGCATCGAATACCTTGCTTATATCATTTTGACATAAATATTTTATATCACGTACACATAATTCAAGATATAAAAGTTTTTTTAAATAAAAAAATAATAGTTTCGGAATAATTCTTTTGATACAAATTACGATGCGAATCGCGATGTCGAAAAAGCTAGTCTTCTTTCGTCACGTTCTCGCATAGCAAAAGCTTCGGTGAAGGCGTTAAATGATATTATTATGGTAATCAGTCTACTTTTTATTCTCGGTTAAAAATGATTCGCATCCTTAATCCGTCGGAGTCCCTAAATGGCTCGCCATTTTATCGACTTTACCTCGCTGAAAGTTAATAATGGATAACAACTTTTATACAATGATAGCCTTTGAATAAATTGCAAGCGACGGTTGATATCACATTTATTGCCCCGCATGATAATTATTAATTCTTAGTTAAGTACAGATTTCTTTCTGTCATCCAAATCAAGGAAGCGGAATACGAGCATTAAATCGATCTGTGTGAAACGATTGTCGAAAAAAATATTCTAGCCGATATAAAGTTTTACGATTTCTGTATCGTGATTGTTTTGCGCGCATATAAAACGGCATGTCTATTACTCGAACGAATTTCGACAGCGTTGCGGTTTTGCTTTAACACGCAATAAAAGTTCGCATTTTGTCTCAGCAGAGCCGTCACGAACCGACCGTCCAATGGGAGAACGCCAATTACAGCGGAAAATTACTTGGTAAAAATAATTAGCAGCCGCAGATCTCGTGGGAATGAATAAATTCTTCCATTTTCTCTCTTTCTTTTTTTGTCGTCTGAATCTTGAAAGATTTTTGCTCTTCAATTTTTCGTCTTGTCTTTTATTGGCATACGTAAATGTGACATATCAATATATAATATTTGATGCGATTCAATCTTTTCATTTAAAAGAGAAAGACACGTCAAAACCACGTTATATTAAATTCAGTTTAATTCATCGTTCAATTGAAATCCTATATTTCTTTTTCAATCGTGTCCTCCTCCAGTGTGTCCTTCGATTCGTGTTAAGTGTAATCAATTTTACGGAGTGGCTCGCTCGGGGGAGATAAATCCGCACGGGGAAATCTCGATAGATAATCCGTGCAGTGCGGTCATTAATATAGAGCTGATCCCCGGCGAAAAAAATTGCCAAATTCGCCGAGTACGCCAGCCACCTTCGGTTCGACAGTTTCCTTCGCAATGGCCACTTTAGAACGGAAAGAAGACGGCTTTCTTCCGCGTGTCCCTTGCCGTACTTCTCCATTTTTCAGTTATCCCACGGTCGCCGAACGACGTCGTCCGTGTGCTACGACCAAAAGAAAGCGATAAAGAGTCGTTTTTCGTAGCTCAACCCGATCGTTCTTGTCACCATTTTAGAATGGACGCAGCTGCGGGAACCACTTCGTTCCTGCGCGAACCACCGACGACCCGCGAATTTCTTCGCTTCTCGTTAGAGTTTCTTTTTCTATTTGCACATTCCGTCCGAAAGACCGTCCTTAGGCGTTCTTTGAAAAAGCATTCAAGCTGTAATGTATCCTACTTATTTTCTTTTTGACTAAAACACATTTTTAAATTTCTTTCTTTAGATACTTAAGCTAAATCCTACACAAAATTGTTGATTCATACAGAAAGAGATTAATTTTTATTGTGCAAAAATTTAATGCTAGAAATCAGTAAAATTGTAGTTGATTGTAACAAAATTGTGGATTAAACAAAACGAAAATATACGGAATATAGGAAGATATTTAAAGAAATATGAAATCGAAAAGAAACGAGAACGTAAATGTATTATAATAATATGAAATTTTGAGAATATAATTCGATTATTTGCAGCAAATGCTATTCATACGCACACACAACTTATTTCAAATATTTCCAAGAAAGAAAATTGAATTTAATGTAATTTTTTATTAAATAATGTCAATGTAATTAAATCATGTTTCTAGAATATCTAAGAATGTCACATTTTTAAGAAAAAAATTTATAATCATTTTTTGAAAAAATTAATTTTGATGAAGAATTTTCAGAAACACACCATATCTTTTTATTTATTATATCATACTGTTAAGAGTATATTCTTATTATATATATAAAAGTATATTATATGTATAAAAAACACTACGTCATCGCGATCGCAGGGAAATATAATAACGAATTTATATTTTTTTTCTTTTTCGTTTTGTCGGAGAACGAGTTCACGGTCGTTTTTAATGGATTCACTGCCGCTGGACGGAATTTTCAACTTTACTGACTTCGGATTTTTACAACTGCTTGTTGCGGACGGACTGAAACGCATTTTGCAGTCGGCGTTGTAACGCGGCTGACTCTTGATGCGTTTCGAACGAAATTATATCCGGCCCGATGGTGCCGCCGCTTCCGTCAACTATTGTTTACAGCGGCCATGCCGTTCACCGCGGAGCATCGGCGTGATTTTTGGCGGCCGGCGACAATGCTATTTATACGATTCTCCCACTCCGAGGATTTGCACTATAAACAAAACCCGAGAGGGTGCAGGTCCGGATATGACACAGGACACGGTTATTTTCCCGCAATGTGGAAAATGTGACGGGCTCGCTATCCGCGACTTGGTTGAGTTCGCTCCCGTACAAATTTTCAATAAAAATATCTTCCGGTCCGTTTGCGCCATGAGTTCTGAATTTCATGAATTTCCGGCATGAAATAGCGGACTGGATTTTCACGTGTATTATGAAATTCTCTCAATTACATTGACAAGAAAATAGATTTTAATGCAACATAATTATACAATACGCAATAAGACATTTTTCTCTCAAATCTAGTTCTAATTAATATTCATTTACTATTAATTTCTTTGTTAGGTATTGTAAATATGTAAATATGTAATAGGTTAATTTATTTATTTATTTATTTAGATATCGAGAATATATGAACATTAAAGATTTCAAATAAAGATTTATACATATTTTAAATATAATTCGATCAAATTTTTTCGAAAAATATTATTTAAGTTTGAATAATTAGACTATTTTGCAAATCAATTTATGTCACGCATATAAAAAAGTTATTATTTAAAGTTATCATAAAAGTATCTTCATTTTTTCTTTCTTAATATGATATACATTACTAAAGTCTATTGTGTTAGGTCAATGTGTTTATTTGTGTTCAACAACAGCTCATATTGAAGCAGAATTTTCCAACAAATTTATCCGTAGGGAGAAATGAGCAGCAATCATCAGCAATCAATGTTTGTTTTACTGCGGTCCGACTAATTACGGTTTTCAGAGACCGTCGTTTGCCACAACAGAAAATTTAAACGCGAAATAAATATAAATAAATCATAAAAGATTAAAACTAATTTTTGTTGTATTTTTAAAATATTTTAATAAGATTCAGTATAAAAATCTTATGTTAATGTCTAACTTTCCAATTAAAAGATATATAAATTATCCAGCCATTGCTTACATTGTAAGAAAATAAAATAAATCGAGCTCTAAAAGCTCAAAATTATTAATATTATTAGGAGCATTATTACTTAGCTTGTGTATATTACGTATAAATAAATTATCAGTTCTTGGCACTGGCATTCTTTATTCAAATATTCTCATTTTGTTCATATCTGAAATATGTGCAAATTTGAATACTGAAATCTTTAATTCTCCCATCATACATAAATGATATCTTTAATTCTAAATTATTCCCTAATATATTATTGATTATTTTTAACATGGTGCAAGCAATGTTTTCTATGCATTCGTCCCGCGATGACAACGAGAGACATCTCTATTTTTCAGTCAATTAATACGAAATGAGGGAGGGGAAGAACCGTGAGAAGAAAGTCAGCGCGCGCGTCACGTCGCTTCCGGAATAAAATACCGGCGAATAATTAATCCCGCCTGTGCCAGTTCCACAGGGACGACGAAGACGGATCAGGGGGAGACGGAGGGGAGGCCTTAATTACAGCGCGAATGGAACTCTTTTTCATGAGCGTGGCGAGAGGGGCGCCTGTTTCTCCCTCGCTCGCGATATGAACACATTGCAGACGTCGCGACGTCCGGCCACGACCCGTGATTAATGTCTCGCTTCGTTTACCGCGCAATCGGATCGTCGGTATAATTAATTAACCGCGCTCACCGCTGCTCACGCCCGCATTCCCCCGGCCAAGAACAACAATATGAACCGCGCGTAAGTAAAAGAGGGTCCTCTTATCATCGAGACGCGACCTAGTATCGGCTCGACACTCCTCGGCTTATCGGCATTATGTTATATCGGATCAGCGCCACGATTAATTTCGTCGGGCGAATATTCGCGCGAATCTAATCCGCTCGTGGTACGATTAATTAACCGCGTTCGACCGAGCTCTCGCTACTAAAGGCGAATTCGCTCGTCACGCCGAGACACAATACACATACAAGGATGAGTTCAGTGAAAGTCACGACAACACATTTGTCAACACATTTGTAGGAATAACATACAGGGGCGTGGTCCACCTGATATTTGTACCTGCATTGCGTTGGAAATACTGAATTTTTTAGATCTTTCATGACATATTTGTCTGACGTTTGTGCATGTGAAGCACGCATATTTAACGGAAAGCTAAAAAGAAACGCATTGTAATTTAT